ATTCACACATTTTACTAATATGTCATAAATATAAGTGGGTACATGTGCAAACACGAGCAGTGTGTTTGGACGACCGGTAGCGTCGTCCGGACAATATTTTGAAACGTGTATCATAAGCGATGTGCCCAATCGTGTGCGTGCGGGTACTGCTCAGCTGCGACATTATGTTGGGGTTTTGATGGCGCGCCGCCAAACATGAGCTCTGTCGAGAATGCGGTCGGCCCCTGGATCCCGAAGACTGACTGGCGCTCGGGCGAATGACCATGTTCCGGTGGTGTACTCGCTTCTCGGAGGGAACTACGAATGGCGAGTGGACCTGTTGTATCAGAAAAATCTTGGAAATCTCCGAGTCTAAATTGTATAAAGTGACATATCCCTTAGACTAAACCATATTTGTGTTCCTTTTTTCGAGATTAAAAAATGTTAATTTAAAGTCTCAATGTCTTTGTCTTTAAATAAACATTTTTTAAAATTTTTATCCATTTGATATAATTATTTGGAATATATTTCTTCTAATAATAAATAATGTTACAAAGAATATAACCAAAAGTTAAATTTATTTCAAATTTTGTTTTCATGCGAAATACAAATAAATAATTTATTGCCATAAAAAATCTACAGTTTACAGTTTAAGAATATTATGTCTCAAAATAATTATTGTAATAACACATAAAAAATTCTTTTAATTCTAGATCCACTTCATTAAAATCATTCAAAATAATTTTTTCATTTTTTGGGATCATATTGCTATATAAATAATTCCTAAAAAGTAATTTTTACTTTCATCCTAATTTAACAATGAATTTTTGCAATTATAATTAAATTTTTATAGGCTCAATCTAGTAGATTTTTTAAACAAATTTTTGATTAGTTGATTTAGTTAAAGTAAATCATTAAAATTTATTAAGTTCTGAATATTTCAATTTTAGAATATTTTTGAACGATAAAAGTTACTTAGAAATAATTACTATTTTTTCATTTAAAATTTTTTATTATGATAAAAATGCAAAAAAAAAATAGTGATTTTAACGAAATATTAAACTTTTCTCGTAAATTTATTGATATAGTAATTATATAATTTCTCGAGTGCATATAAATATGTGCATGTAACAATACCGTATTTTTGATTCTGATAAAATATTATTTTTAATAAAGTCAATTTCAAATTTGCAAGTTGAACTAAAAGTCATGGTAATAATTTTAGCTTTTTTTATATGTTGATACTCATTTTTAACTTATTATTAATAATATCAAAAATTAGTCGTGATGGAAAAAATCTAATTGAAAATTTGAAATTAGCACGAAAAATTATTTTATTGCTCAGTGTTTGATTAGAAGAACGGTGCACTGCCTGCTTCGCCAGTAGTTGCAGCGCTGAGCAGTGGGGTCTAGGATTGGACTCAGAAGACGTCATGTTGTCTTACCGTCAGCTGTCGGTGTTTGAAGGTCATGGTTAGTATTTGAACCAAGCTCGCAGAAAAGGTTTTATCTGCGACTTTGAAGCTGGTTTCTCTCCAATTCTGATAATAAATAATGCTACAATTAATTTATAAAAAAAATCATGGTTTTGTGAACTGTTATTAAATAACCACTTATTGCTATCTGTGTATAGAAAATAACAATTTTGAGTCCATCTGTAATTTTATTAACTTACTATTATTAATAAAACACCTTGAAGTGGGGTCGCAGCTGAAAAAAAACAGTTATATACAGGGTGATTTTTTTATCATAACCCACTCAATTACTTGCAGAATAATAATAATTTAAACATTTTTTTTTTATTATCTTTAGTTACACATTATTCTTGAATCTTTAACTATGTAATACTTTTTAAGTTCATCCCTTATGCCTTAAGGGGTAATGCCTTATGCCGTAAGGGGGTCAAATTTGTTTTTTTAAATGGTAACACATATTTTTAATTTAATAAAATGTATGAGTTTTTAATTTAATAGTAAATGGAATTTGAATATTTAATATAACTTAATTCGTTTATTAGATATAATCATTTAAAGTTTCAAATTTTTGAGTTAATATACAGGTATAATACACAAGGGATTACAAATACAGGTAGCTAATTGGTTTTTTATGACATTGCTGTCACAGTCACGGATTATTTATTATCATTTATAACTATCAATAGATATACTTTTTGTATTGTCAGTTAGTGTATTTATAAACTCACAACAATGTACCTTACTATCATTGATAATAACAATGCTTTGTACCTGCTAATATCGATAAAATATTATCTCACTTAGATTCCTATTTACACTTAGATATTTGGATATTTTTAATAGTCTTTATATTTTGAAAGTGCTTAAATAAAATATAAATAACGTAATAAAGTATGAAAATCAATCTATAGTGACAACTCAAACTATTGTTTTATGAATAGTTTTGCTGGATGTGCTAAGGTAGATATTCGACCTGCACTTATTAAATAGACACTCTATTTAAAGAATAAAAAAAAATCATAAACAAAACTAATAATAAAAAAATTAATGAATATTTATAACTTAAATGAAATAAAAATAAAACATAATTATTTTTGTAAATACATTTTAAATAAGAGTGTTAGATAAAAGACCAATTGTGAAAAATTGTCTAAGTTCAAAAGAACACAATAACGAAACAGCCTGGTTCTAACATGCTTCATGACTAAAATTTAAAAAAAAATAAGGTTTCGAATGAGCCAGAAAAAGCTCTTTTGTAGGCCTGTTTTGAGGAGGAAAATTGATATTTATTCAATTAATTAATTTTTATATTTAGGAGATGACACAATCAACTAAAATAAAGTAAAAGTTAGTAAATGATGCTTACTTGTCTTTCAAAATGTTAATTATTCGGTAAGTTTTTGTTTTTGATTACAAGACTCCACTTAAAATGCAACTCCTATAATACAACTAAGTAAAGTCATTACCCAAAAGTTTCATTTGGATTTTTAATGTTGTGTGAACAAATTCGTATTGTTATTTTTCTGTAAGAACAATAACGTCGTTGTGTTTTATAAGAACACTTATTACTATGTTTCAACGCACTGAACACCACTTAACATATCACTGTCTATTACATTGTACAGTGTAGGCTCAATAATTGTGTTTCTGTAATTTCCGACTGACCTTAACCGTTCTCAAAAGCTTGAAAATACTAGGTGCCTCGGTCTGACCGGTTCGATAAGCCGGTTGTTGGGAAATAGACATAGTCGGTTGTTTTGATTTTCATCGGTAGCGAGGAAATTTCTTGTGCGAGCTGCAAATTTGTTATTCTCTATGATAACTATTATATTTTTCGCCAATGTCCGCTACTAATTACTATGTCACATATAATCGTTATCAATCAGCCTTTTTCTAAATTAAATAATGTTATATTTAATAAGCTCATTAAATACGTGTTTTGCATATTAATAAATAAACACACCATGGTAAAATAAATATTTTCACAGTTTCGCATCGAAGTTAAAATATTGTTGAAATTTATTTTTATAATCCGAGTAAATGAGTTTTTATTTTCCATATAATTTTAATAATTTATCACGAAAACTAATAATTTTTTTGTTTTTTAGAACAAGTGGTAAGTTTTATAAAATTGGGGAAAATATTTCGCTGTCTTCTCTATAATAATAATATTATTCAACTAAAGTAGTCGAAAATAAAATGAGTAACATGACAATATGATTATAATAAATAGATATTTTAGCACCTATTGAAAGCTCAGTAGACGCTATTTACCATGAATTTTTTGAATCGTTATGTGGTGTTAATGTTAATTTAAGAACAAAATATTCAAAAAGATATCAAACTTTTTTATTTAGATTATGGATTTCCAAGNTTTAAGAACAAAATATTCAAAAAGGTATCAAACTTTTTTATTTAGATTATGGATTTCCAAGATCATTAGTTATAAAACATGATTCTTAATATAATAAGAAATATAAAACACCTCTTCAAAATTTAAAATCTAATCACAAGTTAATCGTTCAGCTCTAAATTGTAATATCAAGTTTATGTTATTTTGTTTTTGAAAATAAATAAGTGTATGTTGTATAGTTAAAATATAATTACAATATCGTTGTATTCAAGTCTTAGTTTTTTATTTTCAAACTATTCGTTTTTTTGAATTTTCATCTGTCAAAAGAAACCAATAGAGCATATTTGACTAAACAAGGTGTTTTATAAATTATTTAATAAACACACGTTTGCTTTTTGATATACAGGTGACATTTTTATCATAACCCACTAAATTACTTAAAAAATAAATATAATTTAGAAATTTTTTTATTTTGATTGCCTTTAGTTACACAATGTCCTCGAATTTTTAACTGTGTAACAATTTTGAAGTTCATCCCTTATGCCTTGTAAGGGTGTCAACTTTGTTATTTTAAATGGGAACACATAAAATGTTTGAGTTTTTAATTTAATAATAAATGGCTTTTGAATTTTTAATAAAACTTCATTTGTTTATTAGATACAAACATTTTAAGTTTCAAGTTTATAAGTTAATATACATGAATAATACACAAAGGATTACAAATACAGGTATTACGATATTCCCAGGTATATAGCTTATATTATCAATGGTAATAAGGCACATTGTTGTGAGTTCATAAACACACGAACTGGCAATACAGAAATTATATTTGAATTATAGTTGAATAATTAAAAATTATATCCAAAAATGTTATTTTTAGTATAACGTGAGATGAAACTTTTTGATTTTTTTGAAATTTTTACAATACATTTATTTCAATCTGATACTAAAATATGTAATTAAAAAAATAATAATTCAATGATTAATTAATTTCAAATTTTAATTTTACGCTAAAAACAAGCATATAATTTAATATCGTAAAAAATATAATTTATTCAGACGTAAATAACAATAATTTAAGCAGTTCTAAAATTATTATTCCTCTTTATTGACAAAAAAAAAGTAAATATCATATTTGCTTAAATAAATTTTGATAGTCTAATATTAGGTCGCAAAATAATAATGTGCTGCTGCCAACAGAGTATAAAAAAGTTTAATTCTAGATCCACTTCATTAAAATCATTCAAAGTTTTACATATTTAGCAAATTTTAGTTTTATATCAAGTAGTATGAATTTAATAATAATTTTCTCAATATTTATGACATTATACTCTAGTTCTGATTCAAGCTGTTCCAATGTGCCAACTGAAAATTTAGTACCAACTGAAGAAGTCTTAGATTCTGTTATACNGTACCAACTGAAGATGTCTTAGATTCTGTTATACGTCGTTCTGTATGGAGTTCATTCACTAGAACTTCATTTTATATGGATTATAATGGAGAAAAATATAATTTTTCTATGTATTATGTAGAACAATTAAGATTTGATTTGAAATACGAACAAGGTGGTATTATCTTAAATTCAATTTATGTGTGTCTTATTGAACAACTCTATAAAAAGTGTTTAAATGCAGCAAATCATTATAAAAATAATTTAATTAACCATGAGGACAAATTAAAGGGATTACATGAAGTATGGAGTAGTATAACCATGTTGGAACCTTTGTTAGACCATATGATTAACGCTCTTAAGTTTTTTAATTATAAAGAAAAGGCTGTACTAAATAATCTTGGGAAATTGAAAAATTCAATTAATGAAATCACCGTAAAAAATGAACTTAGTGAAGATGAAATTAATGAAAAATTTGAAAAAATATTAGAGGTAGTAACATTTGAAAATAGTCTTAAAGAATTTAAAAATAATCACATTATTGTGTACGAAAATGCAACAGAATTAATTATTACTAATTTTATTAATTCCTTATGTGGTGTTAGGAGTTATATAATTTTAGATGAGCAATTTATTAACCCTAAACAAGCAAATATTCAAGAAATAATTGAAAATGGTATCAAGGCTTTTTATTTCGATTTTGGATTTAGATATGAAATGTTGCATCAGACAAATCATAGAAATCTCGAGTCTAAATAGTATAAAGTGACATATCTCTATGACTAAAAAATATTTGTGTTCTTTTTTTCGAGAATGAAAAATTATTTGTTAATTTAAAATCTCAATTTATTTTTCTTTAAATAAACCTTTTGTTTAATTTTTTATCTATTTGATATAATTATTTGGAATATATTTTTGCTGATAATAAATAATGTTACAAAGAATATAACCAAAAGTTTAATTTATTTCAAATTTTAATTTTATGCGAAATAAAAGTAAATAATTTAATGCCATAAAGAATGTACAGTTTACAGTTTAAGAATATTATGTCTCAAAATGATTATGTGGTGCTGCTTACAACACATAAAAAATTCTTATGATTCTAGATCCACTTCATTAAAATCTTTGTAAAGTATTGCATATTTAGTGAATTTTAATTTCGTTAATGGTTTTTGTAATATTTTATTGTATTATTATAGTGCAGCTTTTATCATTCGTGCAAATAAAATATTCTGGCTCATAAATATATTATTTAAATAAAAATTAATTTTTATATTGGCTAAAATAACTAGTCTTTAATTTATAAAAAAATCCTATTTTTAAGTTCTATATAATCCATTAGATAATTAATCACATCNTCCTATTTTTAAGTTCTATATAATTCTTTAGATAATTAATCACATCACTTAATTGTTTAAAAGAAATTATAAAGGGTGAATAATTGAAAACTATATCCAATTCATATTTAAATTTTAATACAAGATAAACAAGCGTATAATTTATTATCCTAAGGAATATAAAATTTATTTAGATTTATTCAGAAATAATTTATTGCCATAAAGAATCTACAGTTTAAAGTTTAAAAATATTATGTCTCAAAATAATTATGTGGTGCTGCCTACAACACATAAAAAATTCTTATAATTCTAAATCTACTTCATTAAAATCCTTGAAAAGTTTTACATATTTCCTGAATTTTAATTTCGTTAATTAAAGTAGCATGAATTTAATATTAATTTTCTCAATAATTAAGATATTATACCAAATTTATAATTTAAGCTTATTAAAAAAAATAAATTAAAAAATTGCATTTATTTATTTATTTTTTATTATTGTAAAATTAAAAAAATATTTAAATATGCTTTTAATGTATTTCATCATTAGATCTGTAGACTCAATTAAAGAAAACGTGTTAATATACACATGGCCAAAATTTGCCTTGTATTATATTTTTACGGTTTTAAACACTTTTTTTTTTTCTTAAGTTCACGCTATTATCGCCGCGCAAAATTAGACAATACCTGATAATTTTTTCAAATTATCATCTATTATATAAATGATGAATAAATTGTACAATATAAGTTATTTTCGCGATGATATACATGTATATTTTTAAATATTTTAATAAACCTTAACAATATTATTTACATTTTATGACTGTACATTTATTTGAAAAACTATCTAACAAAATTAATTTCAAAATAAGCAAGAATATTACAATCACCAGTGTTCAATATTAAAAAATAGCAGTTATTTTAGTGTATGAATAATATTTTATTTAATAGAATACACAATCAAAATATAGATTACATATTTTTATATTTTATAATTTATTCTTTATAACAACACATTTTAGATGATATCATTATTTAATAACATATTTTTAGTAGAATAAACTCCATTATTAACTTTTTTAATCACATTATTCAAAATTTAACTTTGGCTCTGACAGAAAACAATGAAAAATATACAAAAATGGCAATCTTAATAAAAAGTGATATCATAAACCGGAATAGAGCAAACAGTGACGGAATATCTTTGAATATAACATGTACTATATGTTTACGCAAGATCTGATTTTTACCTTCATATCTCTATATATAAAAAACCCAGAACAGGGGGGTCGCGGCACAGTGGTGACGTGGTATAGATGGATAAAGTATAATGATATCTGACAGCGATTAAAATCACTATAAAAAAAAAACGCTTCGATGCAAATCTTTAGATAGTGTTTAATTTTAAAAAATTGGTGGACTATTCCAAAAGCTACATGATCTGCTAGTTCATTATTAATATCCTAATTAAGATAAAGTATGTAGAATGAAAAAGGGATTATTGAAAAATATTAATTCTCATAAAAAAAATAATGTTGATCCATACACTTTTCAATATGTCATAGCATTATAAATATAAAAATGTAAAAAATAAAATCGAGAATTTTCACAAAATAATAGCATTCTGAAGCCATTTTCACCGTGAAGATAAAATAAAGTCCGATTTTTTTTTTTGCATAATAAAGTAAATTACATTAGCTTTAATTATAGGTATATATAAAAGTGTCAGTATTTTCGGAACNAGCTTTAATTTAAGGTATATATAAAAGTGTCAGTATTTTCGGAACACTTTCAAAAGTTAAGTTGAAAAAATTAATTTTTTGTGAAAAAGTTGTCATTTTAAATACCCCCGTGTGGCCAGGTAAAGGGTCAGATATAAAAAAAATTATACCAAATGATAGGTACAGACATCATGCATTTACAAAAAAAAGAATTATATTGATCCATAGATCTTTCAAAAAGTTATAGCATTATAAAGTTAAAAATATAAAAAAGAATTTTTTTACAAAAATCGTATTTTTTTTATTAAGTTTAATGTCTGTTTTCACCATGAAGATAAAATAAAGTCCGAAATTTTTTTTTACCATTATAAAGTATATTACATTAGCTTTAATTTAATATATATATAAAAGTGTCAGACTTTCCGGAACATTTTCAAAATTTAAGTTAAAAAAATTAATTTTTTGTGAAAAAGTTGTCCTTTTAAATCACCCCCAGTGGGCAGAGAATGGGTCATATATAAAAATAAAAAATACCAAATGATAGGTAAAGACATCATGCATTTATATAAAAAAGAATTATATTGATATGTTCATTTTTGAAAAAGTTATGGAAGTTATTTTTAGAAGAAAATTTCGAAAATTTTAAATTTGTAATTTTTTTGGAGGTTTCCCCCATTTACGGGGAACGAGGGAATTTTTTTCAACTTTTAAGGGTAATGTTTTTGACTAGATACGATTTGTGATCTTTTGACGTATCATTGAAAGAAATTG